TCGAATGGCGTTAAAAAAAGTCAAAAATTTATAAACAAAAAAGTTATTAATGTTTTTTATAAAAAAGTCATATTTTTTTCCAATTTTTGTTAAATTTTCAATTTTTTCTACTATGAAATAGCGGAAAAATAATTCCAAATGTTACAAATAACGTGACATAGATATATAACCTAGAAGATAGGACTATAGAGAAAATTAAAAAGGCGGATCAAAAATTGAGTGAAGCGGTACACGTACTTGGGAGTCATTTTTTTAAATTCTGGATCTTTTTTTGAAGAGGCTATTGCCACTCTAGGGGCTGATTCCTGGAGCACATACGACAGACTTTTTCAAAGTCTGTCAGTTAGTGTTCTATTTTACGGTGTCCAAGTTTGGGGTTTCAAATTTTTAGACCTTACAGAGAAAGTACAACTTTCATTCTATAAGAAACTTTTATTATTGCCGTTAAATACTCCGGATTACGCAGTAAGGGTAGAAACGGGTTCTCTTCGACTGGCATATCGGGTACTTTCGTTAACACTGAATTGAATTAAAAAAATCTCAAAAATGAATTCTCTCAGATATCCCAGACAGTGTTTCGAAAGACTTAGGGTGCTGTCGCTGAGTAACCCTTCCTACAGATTTAATTGGTTTACTTAGTTAAGAGTTTTATTTGAGGAAGGTGAAATGGTCGATCTTTGGATGGGGCTCTCTTTGGATACCGTAAACTTCTCTGGTGATCGGATACTGGAGAGGTATGGTGGATTCCTCAGGAACGCAGACAGATCGCGTTGCTCTGAGTCTAGTAGTCTCTATATTTATTAGCATCTTTCTCTTCATTTAAATACTTAATTATATTTAAAACACAGATCACCTTTATCTTTTAAAAGAACCATGGCCCAGATTAGATTAATTAATAAATATGTCTGTAGAATAATGACTGGGAATTGCGTTTACCGTTTCAAGAAAGATAGTTATTGTTTATTTTGTAACCGGGAATACGACTGTTTATATCATATGCTCACAAACTGTCCAGGATGTATGCATATTTGTGAGTCTTATTTCTTGAATTTAAAAAGGCAAATGGAAAAGATAGACACTTGGATAAACATTATTTCATTTGAGAACTTAGGGACAGCGAAAAACTTTGTAAAATTGATAGAGAAAATTTTGAATGAGAGAAGTTAATTTGGAACTGTAAATAAACTGTCATTATCGAGAACGAAAGCACATCTTGTTGAACCGAGATTCCACTTGTATAAACCTTTGGGTTAAAAAATGAGTGATTAAATAAATATTGATATTCTAAAAAAAAATTACTTATTTCAAGGTCAGATTGAAAAAAACAATTTTTTAACTCTAGCTAGCAGCTCTTGTAAAACCTTTTAAAAATCATTATTCACAGTTTTAATTAGATTATTTTTACTTATCAATATATTAAATTGAAAAAAAGATATTTTAAAAAAAGACATAATTTATTTTAAAAATAAAAAAAGACTTTCCAGTTTACGTTTACCTCTACGTGGTGAAAGTTGGAAAACATTAAAAATATTTTAAGTATTTTAATGGCTAAAGAACGTGATTATCGAATTTCAACTAAAAATTCGTCTGTCATATTGGAGCGGCCATATTTAATTTAAAAATTAGACTTCAGATTCGTGACCAGCAACCCCAAAACCTCCCGAGTACCAAGTTTCAAGCGAATCTAATGATTTTTTGAAAATTTGTCGGCCATATTGGATCCGCCATGTTTAATTTTAAAAATTGAACATTATATTCGTAATCAGCGACCCCTAAAACCCCCGAGTAACAAATTTCAAGCTAATCTAATCAGTTTTTAAAATTTTGTCGGCCATATTGGATCCGCCATTTTGAATTTTTAAAATTAGATTTCAGATTCATAATCAGCGATTTTAAAAACCCCCGAATAACAAGTTTCAAGCAAATTTAATGAGTTTTTAAAAAAAATTGTCTGCCATATTGGATCCGCCATGTTTAATTTTAAAAATTGAACATTATATTCGTAATCAGCGACCCCTAAAACCCCTGAGTAACAAATTTTAAGCTGATCTAAACACTTTTAACAATTTCGTACTTTCGAATCAAATTTTGAAAACAAATTTGAACTTCAAACTCCATTTTAAATCCGCCATTTTAATTTTTAATTTTCTCTATAGTCATATCTTCTAGGTTATATATCTATGTCACGTTATTTGTAACATTTGGAATTATTTTCCCGCTATTTCATAGTAGAAAAAATTGAAAATTAAACAAAAATTGGAAAAAATCGGACTTTTTTTGATAAAAAACATTAATAACGTTTTTGTTTATAAATTTCTGACTTTTTTTAACGCCATTCGATAGAGCGCATATGAAAGCATAAGAAATGATGATTCGTGAATTTTTTTATTAATTTTCAAGTACCGAAATAAGTCCTCAAACTTCATACCAAAATTTTGTCCATTTGGGCGTTAAAGGGTTACGACCAAGAACATCAAAATCCAATAAAATCTGTAGGCTCTAGACAATTTTGAAGAGTAAAGTGTAAAAAATCCCACTAAAAATCGCGCTTCCACAAAAATTCTAATATCTCGAAAACTATTAAAGTCTCCATCGTTTTCATTTTTTTTAATTGAAAGGTGAAATTATAAGGAATATTTAAATATATATCGGAAAATACTCAAAAATCGGTCCCGTGCTTAATAAATCAATTCAAAAAATTTTTTTACTGTATTTTTGAAAAAAAATAAATTTTTTTCTAAATTTTAAAAGGACATGATTTTAAGTATAACATATTTAAATTTTATTAAAATCCGTTAAATTGTTTCGGAAATATTCACATTTAAAAAAAATCTTATAAAAAAATTCAAAATGGCGAAACTTTTACAATTTTAAAAATTTTTAAAAATCCTTTGGTACACTTATTTTTGTTATCAAATATAACAACTTCACTAAATTACAGAATAATCCGAAGACCTCATGCAAATTGTAATTTTTCTGACGGAGTCTTACCATTTTTCAAAAAAAATTTTTTGGCTTAATATTTTTAGGGATTTTTCTTAACCTTATGAAGTGTAAAAAAAACTATTTTTGTTCAAAAATAAAATTTTTCAGTTTTAGGTGATCCGTTTGAGAAATTCTAACCCCTATATATTTGTAAGTTTGCGTTAAAACTAAATTTTTGTTGATTCCTTCGTTTATGTTGTAATGCCGCTTATTTTATAATGTGTAGAGGGATTCTCCTTAATTGTGTGTAATGGTGTAATTATGTCTACGGTGTTTGACGGAGGGTTAAGTACAAAGTTTTCATGAGGACGTTGTGGGAACTAGGTCTTGATGGGATGCAGTTTGCCTTCTGACGTCCTTAACATCTGGGTTGATATATTTAAAACAAGTACCCCGTATTGAGATTCCTCGATGGCTCGGTACTTCACGTGATGTATTATATTTCGAAATCCATGGGTTTTCTGATGTATCCATGCTGCTCTTTTCAGCCGCCGTTTATGTTAGAGTATGCTCCTCTACTACTAAAACGACTTGTAGACTTGTTTGTGCAAAGACGAGAGTGGCTCCACTTAAACAAATAAGTATCCCCAGGCTTGAGCTCTGTGGAGCTCAACTCCTAATTTGCTTGAAAAATCACGTTTGTAAAGCTCTTCGTTTAAATGATGATTATATTCATTTGTAGAGTGATAGCACAAACGTATTATATTGGATTCAAGGTGAACCTTCAAAATGGAAAACGTTTGTAGCATGATCTTTAGTGATCCGGTCCCCTGCGACTTAGTCTTTCGAATGAACCTTGGAGAACAGCCTTCCTTCCAACCCACCGAAATAGGAGCAGGAGAAGGAATGTATGAACTAAAGTCGTATCCCCATTCGGTTGACGGTGGAGTTGAAGGGAAGGTAAAGTGCTTGACAATCCCCACATTACAATCGTCGCTGACCTGAATCAAATTCCAGTAAACCTTACATCTTCTGAAATAAATAACGCAAAACTTTTCTGGATTAGAACAGTTCAAAAAATATCATATCGCCCAGTACTAGCTAGTTTATCAGATCCTGAATGTTCACTTACCAAGAAAAGCTCTCTTGTTTCATTAAGTTTATTCTTAGATAAGCATAATTTATTACGTGTTGGAGGTCGCCTTAAGCATGCAAAACTTGATTGCGATGAGAAGAATCCAGTTATTCTTCCGAAAAATTTCCCCTTTACTGATCTTGTAATTGATCATTGTCATCGTCGAGTGTTGCATGGATGAACTCAGTTGACTTTAGCTACCCTCCGTCAAAATATTGAATAACACAAGGTCACCAAGCTGTAAAGGCTATAATTGCCCGTTGTATAACTTGTGCACGTTTTCGAGCTTCATCTGCTGTGCAGCAGATTAGTAATCTCCCAATTTAACGCGTTCAACCCAATCAAGTGACGTTGAAGATGAAAGTGATGGCGAAGGTGAAAGTGTGATTGAAAGTGAGAGTGAAGGTGAATGTGAGGGTAAAACTGAGAGTAAAGTTATAGAATAGCACCCCAGATTCTGATTCAGCATACCAAAAATTACGAAAAATTACTTTTGAATCTCTGACAACAAAAATTGTTATTTTTTTGCAGGCTTATAATTGATCAAAATATGGATTTCAACCTTTATCCGAATATAAAAAAATATACCTACCTTTTTAGGAACGTCCATTTACATATTTTGTGTGTGGCCCATGGTAAGAATAAGTACAAGTATGGCTAATAAAATCTATCCTTTTTAACCCATTTTATGCGTATTCTGCTCACTGTAATAACATGTCTTGTGCGAGCCACCTTAATAGATAAAGCAGAGCATCTAAATTGTGGGACGTAAGCGTGAAACAGCAACTCACCCAATAACTTTTCCGTATAGTTCTACTCTTACCATGGGTCACACACAAGATATGTGCGAGGATGTCCTTAAAAACGTAGGTAGTAGGGGACGTCCACACAGTAAAATTTTTCCCTTGTATTTATTTCTATAAAATGTAATTTTTTTCAGAATTTTACCTCCACTTTATCAAGATGGTATTCAAAGTGTCAGAAGATCTTTGAACGAAGAATTATTACCTTCTTCAAGAGAAGTGTCGAATCTTATTCATGAGGATAGAGATATATCTTTAGCTTCTATTTCTCACATGTTGATGCAGTGGGGACAATTCATCGACCATGATATAAGTGGTATGTAACGATTTCAACAAATAAAATCTGACAGAAATAAATATTTTAATAATAATTCAATTATTTAATATGAATAGCCTCAATACCAAGTCGGGGTTTCAACGGGACAATACCACAGTGTTGTCTAGAACGAGGGAAAGGATTCCAGTTACCACAATTTATGGTTTGTTATAATTGTATTATTACTAACAATTAATTTATATTAATTTTTAATATAGCTAAATAGAAATAAATACATAACAAACAGGTCACAATTTTTAACCAAAACACTTCTCTTGTTTTCTAAATCTTCTGCATTAAATTATCTGTCGATCTGTAAAGCTCGATTTTTGAAGTTTTTTGAAAACCTTTTTTTAATACAATAAGTATTAAGGGGAGGGGTAAGGTATTTCATGCATAATACCTCCAGAATATTATGAAGGCAGATAGATCGATGTGATATACACTACTGTCCACGAGTATCTGGACGATTACACGCAACTCTATAAAAAACATGCCATCGCTTTTTCAATCATATCTCGTAAATAAAAGAAGATACAAAAAAACTTAAATACGGTTAGAAAGCTGATTAAATTTTGCGTAAAATAAGCCGTCTTTGAAGTCATTTTGTTAACTACTTTTTGAGTTGTAGAGTGAGAAAGAAATAAAAAAAATTATCAAAATTTCTCATTTTTATCTCTTGACTTCAACTTTTTCAAAAATCTAGAAAAATTTAGATAAAATTTTTCTAAAAACACATAAATCTTTGTTAGAATCTCAGCTTTAAAATAAGCCTTTGAAAATTAAAAAAGGTTAATCCGTCTTCGATATATCATTAAAAATGTGAAGCCAAGTTTCGACGATTGTTGCATTGGAATTTAACTGTGACGATTCGATTCTAGTATCGCGTGGCTGCGAATAGGAGAAAAAACAGGGACGGATTTATGTTGGGGAATAATAAATAATGATGTTTTACGAGTAATATAAAGAAACTCTAAAGTTTATCGTTTCCCCGCATGATTTCGTCCCTGCTTTCTCTCTCATTCGCAGCCGCGCGAAGCCAGAATCGAGTTGTCAGAGTTGAATTTCAATGCACCAATCGGTCGAAACACGGCTTCACATTTTTAATGATATATCAAAGACGGATCAATCTTTTGTAATTTTCGAAGGCTTATTTTAAAGCTGAAATTCTATCGAAGATTTCTGTATTTTTAAAAACCTTTTATCTAAATTTTTTTAGATTTTTGAAAAAGTTGAAGTCAAGAGACAAAAATGAGAAAATTTGATAATTTTTTTAATTTCTTTCTCACTCTACAACTCAAGAAATAGTTAACGAAATGACTTCAAAGACGGCTTATTTTACTCAAAATTTAATCAGCTTTCTACCTGTATTTAATTTTTTTTATATCTCCTTTTATTTACAAGATATGATTGAAAAAGTGATGGCATGTTTTTTTATAAGTCTGCTAACTTTATGTGTTCCCCAGGGTTCATGATTAGGCTCACTCAATTTCATTACTAGAACTGCTCGTGATCTCAAAAACATTATAAAAACAAATAGATTTCTTTGTTTTGCGGAGAAGCAAGTCGATGTGCACTACGATCTGTTTAGCCACAACTACACAAACTTAACCCCTTGGCTGTCAACGAGATTTCCACTGTTTGGGCTAAAAGTGTGTTGAACAAATTTTTAATGGATTTTTATGAAACTTGGTACCCTAAGGTTTCTGGGGTCGCTGATTACGAATCTGAAATCAGTTTTTCGAAATTTCAAAATGGCGAATCCAAGATAGCGGAAATTTTTTCAAAGTTCGTCGAATTTGTTTGAAACTGGTTACTCGGGGGTTTTAAGGGTCGCTGATTACGAATCTAATATTAGTTTTCCAAAATTGAAAATGGCGGACGACAAAAGAAAAAATTAATTATAATAGCTTGAAACTAAATACTCAGGAGTTTTTAGGCTCGCTGATTACAAATCTGACATTAGTTTTTCAAAATTCAAAATGGCGGATCCAATATGTCGGAATTTTATTTAATTGGTTAAATTTCGTTAAATACCCTGACATTAGCTGGTGAATTTAATTTTTATAGTTCATTAAATTTTTTAAATCCACGACTCCAGAATGTACCACGAGGAAACTGCCATAGGATTTTACATTCCATTTTTTTATTTTTTAAAAATTTTAATATATTTTTTAAAATTTTATTTTTTTATATACTAGATTATATACTAGACGCGTCGTTCAATGTAGCTACATAATACTAAAACCCCCAAGTAACTTTCAAGCAAATCAAATTAATTTTTTATTTTGTCGTCCGACAACTTTTGTATCAGCTATTTTGAATTTTTAAAAACTGATTTTAGTTTCGTAATCAGCAACCCTGAAAATCCCCGAGCATTCAGTTTCAAGTCAATCTGGTCAATTTTTTATTTTGATGGCCGCCATATTGGATCCGACATTTTGAATTTTGGAAAACGAATGTCATATTCGCAATCAGCGACCTCGAAGACCCCCGAGTAACCGGTTTTAGGAACATTTAAGAAGTTTTTAATCACCTTTTTTACGTTGCGCAAATATGCGTCATGAACACTTTTCTCCAGTCTTAGTTTTGAGCATATATGCGTCAGCGACAGTTAACGGGTTAAGAAATAGTAAATTGTGCGCCAAGGGATAGAAAGTGGCTTTTTCATATGAGTTCGAAATTTGTCAATATGACAATCGCACGAGTATGAAAAAGGCATCTGTCCCGTGATGCACACACTATTTTTTACCACAAAGGTAGGAATTTTGCGATGAAAGGAAAAGCCTCACAGATATTTTTTCACATAGTAGTGTACCGATATACATTCAAACGTACGCCCTTGTTTGGTAGCGAGGGGGGGTTCAGGAGGTCTCTTCCCGACGGGGTCCAGGGGCAGCGCCTTGGTCGGGGGGTTTGGGGGGTGAAGCCTCCTACCCACAAAAAACAACTAAAAAGAGAAAAAACTTTTCTTAATGTTTTGCCTGTTTTCTCTATGTAACATCATTTTTGCTCTCGCTACTATCGGTCAATCAGAAAACAGCGATTTTGCCTATTTCGCCTTTTTTTGCATATCCGCCATTATATTTGCTCCCTAGGGAGCATTTGCTCCCATTACTATCCGACCCGTATGAAAATATCATTTTCTGCCCCGCTTCGCAAGCATAAAAAATAGCAAAATTCATGCCTGCGTAGTAAAAAATCTTTCCAGAAATACTATCACGCATTCAGTTATTGTTCCATCAAAGAATTCGAGAGGCTTAGTGATGCATTCGATTGACACGATATAAAAAACGATCAATATTTGTTCTTATATTATGTCAAAAAAAATTATATGTGAATAAGTCTTTTGTTTTTCGAACGATATTATCGTTATTCGAGCGAAAGTACCGAGATTCTCGGAATTTTTTATTTGGACATTATTTTAAACAATAAAACAAAATTCTTTATCAAATACATTCATATAAATAATAGGGTAATGTCACATTGAGTGGACCGCCACTTTGAGTGGACCACCTGAGTTTTTAAGTTATCTGACAGCGGAAACGTGAAATAAATAAAACGAATAGCAGCACCGCACCTAGAAACAGTAAGAATTTATGTTCCGCGATAATCATACACGTTATTGTTTGATGTAACGCATTTTTAAGAACACAAACCAAAAAAGAAGTCGCTCTTACAATGAGTAAAGTGATTCGGAAGTGTAAAAGTAGTGTAAAATTTAAGTTTTAAAAGGTAACTTATTTTTTTCCTACTACTTTGGACATTGAAATTGATTGTCTTAGTTTAATTAAGTGATAATTTTGACTCAAAAAAAAATTTTGGTGTCTGCCATAAAAAGTTGCATGTCACCATGAGTGGACCACTGTTTATAACCATGACTGGACTGCCTGTTTTTTATATTTTTAATGTCAGTTTACCATTTTTATGGAAATAAATTGGTTTGAAACTGTTTTATGTTCTTTATTAATTTTTTTGTGATTTTGATGTTATATGTGCCAAAATTATTGAAAATGGTTTCACTTGTAAACATTGCGATACAAACATGGTCTGAAGCTGCATAAGCATAAATTTTGTTTCAATATATCAGAAATATTAAATACATTAAAGAATTTAGAATAACTTTTACAATTTTTTAAGAGTGGTCCACTCAAGGTTACACTTTTTTCATTCCTTAAAAATGAGCTATTTTTTTAAAGTCAATTGTTTTTCCCAAATAAAAAAAATCAATGCTATTATGGTATAAACACTTATCTAGGGATCTAAACTAAAGCTTGAAATAGAAACCTCCGATTAATTTGCTGTCATAAAGAATTTTTTAGAAAAAAAGCTTAGGCGGTCCACTCAAGGTGACATTACCCTAGTTTTTTTGATTAGAAGTTTGTTGATGTTTAATAGAATAGTTGACAACATTTTTTAGTAAATATATACAATTTTATTTTGAATTAAAAATTGATAATAATTAATGTCTACTGAATTTAATAAAATTAAAACTCACATTTAGTTAACCTCCCTACGGTTTAACCCGAGTATACTCGTGGTGTATCTTTCATTTATTTATTTTAAAAAATTTAATTCAAGAGTCACATAAATAAAGTACCAAGTGTAACTTGAAGCTGTATTAATATATGTATAATATTTATACATTTGTATTTAATATCAATAATATATTTAATATCAATAATATATTTAATATCAATAATATATTTGTATTTAATATCAAAGTAAAAATGAAATAGTCAAAATTAATTTTAACAAAGTTATAAATTTATTTCCTGCAAAATTGACAAATGAAAAAACCGTAGCACAATGGAATTTTTTTTACAATTTACTGTTCAAAAATGTCTACAACCTACAATTTTTAACCGATTTGAGTGTTCTTTGTTTTAAATTAAAAAGGAATAAATTCTTAAGACATCCCTCGAGACCGATTTTTGAGATAATAATTATTTCTGATTCTAATTTTTTATTTTAATCAAAGTTAACAAATTAATATATTTTTTTAAAAACGGACGTTCATTTTTCAATTTTATTACTGCACATGATCTAAATCAGTTCAAAATAATCTAATATGACCACCAGACAATTAATGAAACATAAAATGATTTATTTAAATTGTTATAACCAATATTAAATAACAAATAGATAACTTTGATTCCTTCAAAAAAAATGTTTTTCCACATTTTCTTTTTAATTTAAGTTTATTACAAGAGTATATGTCCTTTTTGCTTAAAAAATAATTTATTTAAATTGTTACAAACAATATTAATTTATACATGTCACTAACGGCAGTAATGGTAAACTATGAGGGTGATAGTGGTGGTAAGTCTCTGGAAAAGAGTTTTAACACAACTACCATTAACTCATACTTTCCTAGCTTTGGCTGAGCCAATAACCGCGTAAAGGTAGTCCTTTTTTCTCTCTATCTTTCCTCATGGCGCCTCCTTCTCAATTTTTACATTTCCACTCTCTCCGCTTCCGTTCGCCCACGTCCGGACCATTTTCCCTTTTACCCACATTCCTGCTTCCGTCCCCACTCTCTCGGGCTCTGTCCGATGAGTAGCGCCCCTTCGCTCGCTCTCTGTCTGGCGGTAGGCCCATTTTCCTCGCTCATTCGTCAGGCCGTCGGCAGGCGTCCGTCCCATTCTCTTTCACTGTTACCATCTCTTTCTGTACCTTTCACTCTTTAGTCTCAAGTACCTATTTCCTCAACGCTTCTATTTTCTGGATATTTCTCGCAAGTTATTTTCAGAAGAAATTTGTTTAAATGAAGAGTTATTCAACGGTTTATCGATTTAAGACAGGGACCGTCTCGAAAGTTTAGTTTCGTTTTAGTTTCTGAGTTGGCGCAAAACTAAATTAACAAAGCGACTTTAATTTCTAGTAGACACGTAACTAAACAAAGTGATTTTAGTTTCGTGTCGACTCGAAACTAAATTAACGTCTAAATATTAGTTTAGTGTAAGCTTGAAACTGAAAAATTGTTTCCCTTGACTTACGTAGCTCGAGCAACTTAAGTAATTAATGTAAGTTACGTAATTAGAGTAAATTACGTAACCAGAGAAACTTACGTAATTAATAAAACGTAAGTATGTTAAATAAACAGAGTAAATGACGTAAGTAAAGTAACTTACGTAAAAAATAGAACTTACGTAAGTTACGTAAATAGAATGGCTTCCGTAATTAATGGAACTTACATATGATACGTAACCAGAGTAATTAAACTTACGTAACTACATTAACTTTCGTAATTTGTTGTAGTTACGTAAGTTGTTATAGTTACGTAACTTACGTAAATTTAATTAGTTACGTAAGTTTCATTAAATCTGTTTACATAACATACGTAAGTTGTTTTAACCCTTTAAGGACGGGACGGACACATTTCTGAGACAACTTTTAACGGTAATTTTCTCGTCGATCCAATATGGCTGACCAATTTTCGAAAAATTGATCGAATTCGATTAATATTCCTTACGCGGGGGTTTTTGGGGTCGCTGATTACGAATCTGAACTTCGTTTTAAAAAATTCAAAATGGCGGATCCAATATGGCTGACAAATTTTTAAAAAATTGATCGAATTCGATTAATATTTCTTACTCGGGGTTTTTGGTGTCGCTGACTGCGAATCTGAACTTCGTTTTCAAAAATTCAAAATGGCGGATCTAATATGGCCGACAAATTTTCTAAAAATTGATCGAATTTGATTAACATTTCTTACTCGGGGTTTTCTGGGGTCGCTGATTGCGAATCTGAAGTCCGATTTTTGAAATTCAAAATGTCAGATCAAATATTGCGAAATATTTTCAAATATTTATCAGATTTCATTAAAATTCGTTTAATTATTTTACAATTTTTTTATTATTATTTATTTTGTTATTTTATTAATGTTATGTGTTTTTTATGATATATTATATCAAAAATTATTATAATTAAAATTAATATATTTATTATAGATTATTAAAATATTATAATAAAATTATTTATTTATTCAATAATAATTATTAATTATTGTATGTTAAAGATCATTAAAAATTTTCTACATGTATAAATTAATTCACTATTACAAACACTATTTTTAATATTCGAAAATTTTAGTTTACTGTTCGATTACTTCTAAATTTTTTTAAACTAAATAATAAAAAAATGTATTAATCTTGGCAAAGACTAGAGAAGCACGAATTTCTGCCGTTCGCATTTTATTATTTTCATAGTCATCGAGAAAATGTTCACTGGAAATCGGCTGGTCTGTCAACGCTATGTGACTAGTAAAAGTCTACAGGGGAAGTGCTTCCTGGTGCATATATTATTCGGATGTGAGTCCCGAATATTCAAGAGCACCAGGAAGACGAAAATCATTCATTGTTTTGGTCCTGTCAAAACACTGACTGCGGCCATATTGGATTAAAGGGCGACGCAGAGTTCCGTATCTTCGTTTAAAACTTCTTCTTTTTTGCTGAAAAAATATAAAGATGAACTCCAATATTTTTCGCTGTACTTTTTTTCTGTAATCTACAGGTAAAAATAAATAAATAACCAATTTTTATCTCTTCAGATAAAAAACGGTGGGCACTAGGGTAAAAAACACGCTTTTTTGACAAAATTTTTAAAAACTTTGAGTTTTTCACTAAAAAAATAAGAAGATAAAATCGAATCATGTTCGGTGTATTTTTCCTGAAATCTACACATGAAAATACATAAAATAAGGAAAACTAGTCCAATAGGCCAAGAATTGTGAAAAACAAGGGAGCGGTATACACTTTTTTTCTAAATAAAAAAAAATTTCTAGTTTTTCGCAAAAAGAAATATGAAGATGAAGTTCAATAATTTTTTCTGTAATCTACACGTGAAAATAAATAAAAAATGCCCAACGCCAGTCCACTAGACTAAGAATTGAGAGAAGTAGCATAGGTATAATTATTATCAAAAGTTAAAAAAAAAATTTAAGGTTTTCGCTCAAAACGCAATAAAGATCAATTCTAATTATTTCTACTATATTTTTTCTGTAATCTACACGTGAAAATACAAAAGTGTACCAATTTTCAGCTCTCTAGGTAAAAAACTGTAAGCGCTAGAGTGAAAAAATATGAAGATAAAATCCAATCATGTTCGGTGTATTTTTCCTGAAATCTACACATGAAAATACATAAAATAAGGAAAACTGTAGTCCAATAGGCCAAGAATTTTTAAAACCAAGGGAGGGGTCACACTTTTTTTCTTAACCGAAAAAAAATATGAAGATGAACTCTAATAATTTTTTCTGTATGTTTCTTGAAATCTGCACGAAAAAATAAATAAAAATGTATAACGCCAATCCACTAGGTTAAGAATTGTAAGAACCAGCAAGGGTTAAAGAATTTTCGACCCTGCGCACTCTATCAATACCGCAAGCCTTAATTAAGTGAATGTGTAATTTTATTACAATTTATATACCTATTATATATGTGTTATCGTTACATTTACATGTTAATTTGATAATGTAGCCAAGGATGGTACATTTGTTTGTGTGGGAATGCTGGATTCTTTTCTTTTTTTTGTGTCTCTTTTATTAATTAAGGTCTTTTGTTAATTAAACTTAAACATAGGTTAATTAAGAAAGGCTAAGTAGGGTTAATGAAAACTTCGGAGAAACAGGGAGTTCTCGGGCGAGGCGCGCTAGATAGCTGCTGATTCACACGAAACGCGTTGACCGTGCGCGCACGGGGTTTGCGTTGATTGTGGAAAGCGCAGCTTCTCGCGCACCCCCACACTGCAATTTTCCCCTTTCTCTCTAAAATTTTGCTCCCACTATCGTTTTGGCGAAATCGCAGTCGAAGGAGCTCCTCGCACGGACCCAAGACGTCAGTTTTATTTGCCTCTCACTTCTGTGATTATTGGAACTTATTGTCATTAGTTACCTTGCTATTGAGGTTGGTTACCTCCTTAATAACTACGGAACAAATCGTAGGAGTAGTGGTTGCCTTTCTTCCTATGAGAAGTGACCATAAGTGACGAAATCAACTGATAAACCGAGAACTAGGTTTCTCTGAACGATAGTGAGTTGGTTGCCTCTCAATGAGACCGAGCCTTAATTAATCCGCGTCGCTTTGGGTCCTGATCGCGGTAATTACTGAGGTTGGTTACCTCCTCATTAATTTTGAATTTAATACGGAAATTGGTTGCCTCTTTTTGTATTAAATCTAACTATCAGTACCCAATAGACGGACTTTTAAGATTAGTTCTCTTCATTCTACGGGAAGCTGGTTGCCTCTTCCCGCAGAATCTAACATAATTTGTTCCTTTTGTTTATGACACCGGCTATAGTGATTATTGAGTCTGGGTACCTCCTCAATAATACTTGTTTTCCTTCTACGGGAAGTTGGATGCCTCTTCCCCTAGTCGGACCGTTTTCCTTAAACAACGGGAGTCTCTCTTTTCCGCGGGTTACTCAGCACCCCTCACAGCCCCACAAAAAAAGTGTCGTGCGCGCCAGACCAGACTAGTCATTTCCTATGTATTTTGACGCGCTGAACACGAATCCGAAGTCCGTTTTGCTCCATCACGTCAGGATTTTTTTCTAACCTCAAAAAATCTGTCGGATTTTGAGAGGTAGGCTATTTTTTCTTAAATTAATGGATTTACTTCAAACTTGGTAACTAGGGGTTTTTTGGGTCGCTGATGACAAATTTGAAGTTAGATTTTCAAAATTCAAAATGGCGGCTCCAATATGGCGGACGAATTTTTTAAAAGTTAATGGATTTACTTCAAACTTGGTAACTAGGGGTTTTTTGGGTCGCTGATGACGAATTTGAAGTTAGATTTTCAAAATTCAAAATGGCGGATCCAATATGGCGGACGAATTTTTTAAAAGTTAATGGATTTACTTCAAACTTGGTAACTAGGGGTTTTTTGGGTCGCTGATTACGAATCTGAAGTTAGATTTTCAAAACTCGAAATGGAAATTCTTATATACATAAGTAAGGTATTCACGTCCTTTTATGGTAGCGCACTCTTTTGTCCTCAAAGGATCTGTGTAATGGTTTCCGTTTCAAATTGGTGCCTCCAGGTACAATATCCCTTTTCAGCATCCAACAGTAGTCGGACATCATATTTACATCCCATCTTCCTTGATAACGACGCTCAAATTCTTTAAGATCTTGATGGAATCGTTCTCCTTGTTCGTCACTGTAATCTCCCAAATTTTCAGGGAATCGATCCCGATGCGAGTCTAAGTAATGCATCTTTATGCTCATTAAGCATCCTAACTTACAAAAATTTTAAATCATATTACTAACTATTTGCTCCCAATTTTCACTCTTGTGATTACCCAGAAAATTTTTGACAACTGCTTTGAAACTAAGCCATGCGGCTTTCTCCTTTTTATTCATCTTGGTGATAAATTGCTCATCTTTTAACAATTTGCGAATTTGTGGTCCGTCAAAAACCCCTTCATTTAGTTTCGCATCAGATTTTTCTGGAAACTTTTGTTCCAGGTATTTAAAACAGTTTCCTTCTTTATCTAAGGCTTTGACAAATTGTTTCATTTTTTCATTGTTTTCATTTTCTATTATATTTTTTGAACCTGGTTCGAAAGAATTTCTTTTTGGCCATTGTTTTTTAATGTAGTGATTTGCTCGATCTCTACTGTCCCACAATCACAGGAAACATGGTGTTTTTGTAAAACCTGATTGTTGTCCAAGTAGTATGCTTAAAATCTTAAAATCTCCACAAATTTGCCAGTTGTGTTCTTGGTATCTAATTTTATCCAAAACTAGTTTCATATATTCATAGTTTTCTTTCATTTCCGTTGAATGCGCTATTGGAATTGGAGCATAAATATTAGTATTATGTACTAGTACTACTTTTAAACTTCTTTTCGAAGAGACAATAAATAGTCTCTAATTTTCATCTTTGTATATATTTGTTTTTAATTTATTTACGTGTCCGACAACATCTGAGCAATTGAATGAATTGAACTGTCAATTTCCAAGGTTTTGGGAGAAGAAGGTGGATTGCATGAAATTTCTGGTTTTTTTACAGTGGGGACATTAGCATACAATATGTTCTTTTTATTTTTGTTATTACATCCTTGCACATTGGTGTTGCAAAAATAACAATCTTTTTGATTTAATGGTTTTTCCCACAAAGTTGGCTTTATAAACTTTAGTTTATCCTCTTTTTTATGATTCCAACGAGTTAACATTGTGTAACAGGAACTGCAAATTTTGTGTGGAACAAAATTTTTATCCTGATTGGCTATCTCAAGATCAAAATAATCTTTGTTGATCTGTTTGACATTTTCATTTATTGATTTACGATTTTTGGGGACATCGAATTGTCCACATATGTAACAAAATGCATCTGCATTGCTGTCGCATAAGTGTACCGACGTTGTTACTGCAAAATTAAGTTTTGAAGCCTTTGGAGTTTTATTATTGTTTTGATTTTGAGAAGCCATGATTTATGTGAAAACCTGCACGTTAGGGATCCTGGCCCGATCGCAGGTGAGTCCGCCGTCCTAGGGGTGATAACCCTCATACCTCCCCAGGCCTAAGTATGAGAGCTTTCTGACTTGACGAGGACAAAGTCAAGAGGATTACTATTGTGCTGAAACACAATAAAAGTGCAAAGCGTACAAGGTAAACAATGTATTTTTAAGGAATAAGATAGTGAAGGATAGAGGATATTAAAGTTCCTTTTTATCTCGTTGCTTAAAAATTTATTATTTAACTTTTACATCTTATTGTCACATTATTACCTCAATGAAAAAAGTTTTGTGCATTTGCCGAATTGATCTCTATGATGCAATGAGACCCAACTGTCAGTTCTTGAGAGTAGTTCATTACAAAACAAAAAATTACAGTTCCCGCTACACAACACTCTACCAAAAAATTTTTCGGAGCAGCCACACGGAAAAAATTTCTGTGCACTGTTTATCTCTATATGTGCATCAATGGTCCTTAATTACAGTACAAATCTTACACTTTCAAAAGGGATCATATACGGCCCTTTCTAGAGACAGCAAACGCACTTCCATCGGACAACCTCTGCATCAACTGCACTGGAAGTGAGACAAGCGGTGCACGGACATTTTTTCCGTGCAGGGGGTTCAAAATGTGAAAGTCTGACTATAGATTCGTAATCAGTGACCCAAAAAACCCCTAGATACCAACTTCGAAGTAAATCCATCAATAGTTAAAAAATTCGTCCTCCATATTGGAGCCAACATTTTGAATTTTGAAAATCTAACTTCAAATTCGTCATCAGCGACCCAAAAAACCCCTAGTTACCAAGTTTGAAGTAAATCCATTAACTTTTAAAAAATTCGTCCGCCATATTGGAGCCGCCATTTTGAATTTTGAAAATCTAACTTCAAATTTGTCATCAGCGACCCAAAAAACCCCTAGTTACCAAGTTTGAAGTAAATCCATTAATTTAAGAAA